TCGTTTGTACCTTGGAATTTGTACCCAGCTTAAAACAAACATGTAAAAGGGCTCAATTGGTCAAGCCTAAAACTTCAAAAAGCTTACTGAACATGATTATTTCTGTTGTAAATGTTGCTACAGATAGTTAAGGCCACTGATAGATCCACATAAAAGTTCAACAAACAATAAAACAAACCAAAAATATAAAAATTAATAGAAATACACTACTGCTGAAAAGTATGATGTTACTATGATTAAAGATAAAGAATGCTTACCAAGCAATTGACAGTGACATTAGATTGACAATAAATTATTTTACAAAAAGATATTTACAATTTTTTGAATTATTATTGAAAACAAATGTATCACAGTCAAACAGTTTTAATAATTGTAATAACAATAAATGGTACTTTTAAATTAATAAGGATATCTGAAAAAGGGTATTTACAGCATATCTCTGGAGTAATATGTCGGGAACATATTCAGCTTTGCCATTACATAAATAAATGACATTTTAAATCCTAATATAACACAAAACATGTTATTTACAATTGAAATAATCTTATATATATATATATATATATATATATATATATATATATATATATATATATATATATATATATATATATATATATATATATATATATATATATATATATATATATATATATATATATATATATATATATATATATATATATATATATATATATATATATATATATATATATATATATATATATATATATATATATATATATATATATATATATATATATATATATATTCTGTGAGACCTGATAAGTTAACTCAAACTGTTTAAGGAAACTGATTCCGACAAATAATTTAAGTTTTGAAACAAAATGGTTTGAGTTCTGTAAACTTATATATTGTGTCACATACACATTTGTGTTGATATCATCTAACTTTTAGAGTATAAGAAACGTAAACATTTTTACTTCAGTTATTAAATCATTATTAGTTCTATTAACTTAAATTAAGTCCAAACAACTAAGGTTCTCAAATGGTGTGGTATTTCTTCTAGAGTTAACACAACAACAACAAAAAAAATAATACCTTAACTGTTCTTCATTGAATTAAACTAACTTTAAACATAATGTACATGTATATACAAGTTAAACTAACTTGTTTCATTTAGTAAATTTCACTATTATATTTTACAGTATTATAATATTGTAATCAATGATAATGAAGTTAAAATAAATGGATTTTTTTGGCATATAATGGGTTACAGATTTGTCATGAAGTGTAAAACCCAACAGTGAACTTTATCAAATGAATTGAGTGTAAACTCAAAACTTGCTGAAAGTTAATTCTACTAATTTGAAAAGAGATTTGAACTCAATTAATTAAATACCTCATTACGTCCACTTAAAAGCCAACAGTACTCATATAAAGTAGGTTTTTTAACTCAAATGGTTTGTTGCAATCAGTTTTCTCAAACAGTTTGAGTTGCCTTAACTTATTGGGTTTCACAGTACTCAGTTGGTTTGATTCTCTTCATTTAGTGGATTTTAATGTGCTCAAATTGCTTCGTTTTCTCAAATGGACTAAGTTTACTACTCGTTAGGATTACTTATTGAACTTAAATGGTTTGTTGCAATCAGTTTCCTCAAATGGTTTGAGTTACCTTAACTCTTTGGGTTTAACAGTGTAAATATAACCCAACACTTGGGTTTGTTATTATTTTACCGAAATTTAATCTGAAAAAAAATGTGCATGACACTTTAAATGCTCACAGTCAATACATTTACAAATCAGGTAGTTTCTGATTGGCCGCCAATGTGTTTACTTATTCATAAAACACATATTTAAAGCAATAGTGTATGATTATTGTTCTTAGTGTGAACTGAGAGGTGAAAATAATGGCTTTGCCCTTGCAGAACCAATGTTAAAGACACAGTGTCATTTCTGTGCCATTCATTTAACTGATAAAGCCATGGTTTTTGAGCCAACATTGCTGTATCAGGCTGGCTAAGATGCTCATACAACAGGAGCGATATGTTTTTCTAACACTTTAAGCTTTGATATATCAAAAGAAGCTGATAAACTATATAAACATCAGAAGCTTGCACACTGTTATGTATATAACAATAAACTAATGAAAGTGTTCAGTTATTTAAAAAAAAAAATCAGGCTTTTTTAGGTTTGCAACAAAGCTTCACTTCAAAGATCTGACTGTTTTCTCCACCCTGTGTCTTTAAAACTCAACGTCTGCGTCTGATTACAGCAGCGATGACACATCTGTGCTCTGATTGGTTCCTTCACTTCTTGCCTGCCTACCTTGTTGTCACACACCCAAAAATGTGTCTCGAACCGATGTCACAAATACTGCTGCATGACCTTACCAGAAAGAAACACTTACTATATAGAGATATATATGACTATAGATATAGATGGCTATGATTTGTACTATTTTTGTTGATCATTAATCACACAAGAGATTTGTGTACGTACCGTCTCTGAGCCTTTTTTTTTTGCATACTGACACCTCTGCACCGACTTACAGTGGACAGTTATGACGTTACTAAACCTTGGTATTTGTAAATGCTCAATAGTGTGATGCCCTGAAGCTCTCGTTTTTATCCTTTTCATTTTGGTTTATGAGAACAAAGAGAAAAAAGACAAAAAAAAATCAGTTCTTTTGTGTTTGGCTTTGACATACTGATCAAACTAGCACTGTTTATTGTAGCTTAATTATGTATGATGATTCTATCCCTACTCTTTCACTTCTTTGACAAAGAAATACAAAAAAAATAACGGGAAAACATCCTGATGTAAAATACGATATGTGTATTGTATGCTTGTAACTAGTGAGTGTTCATGCTGTCATTCTTTCTTAATGTCTGGTGGTGATCAGTAGGTGGCGCCGTGCTGTCCGACTGAATGGCGCTCATCTGTTGTAAAACCCTCTCTCTTTTCTTT